AACATTAGCTATAATATCCCTAGTACCACATCTGGCAGTTCTCTGTTGACATATTGTTCCAAATGTTTTTGGATAATTTTCAGCAGAATCTTGCTTGCATATGGTATCATAGGAAGACTCAATATAGTGAAAGTGACATACATGTTCAATGCAATCCCAATACAGATAACAAATTCATTTTTCAAGGAAATTGTCAAGTTTATTTGGAGAAGAAAGAGACCCTGAATAAACAAAGCATTTCTGAAAAACAAGAATGAAGTGGAAGGCATAGTATTCCCTTACCTCAAAACCTACTGCTGCACAGTGGTAGTAACCAAAACAACATAGTACTGGTACAATGACAGGCACATAGAACAATGGAACAGAATTGAGAACCCAGAAATGGACCCATCTATCTATGGCCAGCTGATACTCAACAAAAGAATAAAACCTATCAAATAGGAAAGGAAAAAAAAAGGCCCTTCAATGTATGGAGCTGGCAAAACAGAGGTGCTTCTTGTAGAAAGATGAAACAGGATTCACATCTAACACCATAAAAAAAAAAACCAACAGAAAAACCCACAACAACAAACCAACTCAAGGTGGATCAAAGACCTGGGAGTAAAGCCCCAAACCATAAAGTTTATAAGAGACCAACTGAGACCAAGCTTAGAAGGCCTAGCCTATGGTATAAAGAGGCTGACAGATACAGCTAGAAATGCACAATCTGGAGAAGATAAAATTGGTGAATGAGACCTTCTAAATAGTAAATCCTTGTGTGCATAAAAAACTAATTCCAACAGGATAAAAAAAAAAAAACCCAAAACAAAACAAAACAAAAACCCTGTTGACTGGGGGGAAAATTTGGCAATACCATCTCAGACAAGGGGCTTATATCAAAAGTTTATGGAGTACTACTGGGCCTCTGGAATAAAAAGACTGATAACCCAACTGCAAAATGGGCAAAAGACATGGAAAGACTCTTCACAGAAGACGTTATTCAGGGGCCAACAGACATATGAAGAAATGTGCAAAATCACTGGCAATAAGAGAGATGGAAATCAAAACCATAGTAAGATACCATCTCACTCCAATTGCTGTGGCAAAGTTTTGCAGGGCAGCAAGCAAAAAAATTTGGAGAGGAAGTGGAGAGATAGAAACTCTCATACACTGGTGGTGTGATTGTAAAATGGTACAACCACTCTGGAAGGCAGTTTGGCTTTTCCTCAAAAAGCAGAACATTGAAACACTGTATGACCCAGCTATTCCACTTCTAGGAATATACCCAAATGAAATTAGAACTGAGACACAGACAGAGATTTGTACAACAACCTTCACAGCAGCATGATTCATCATCGCAAGAACACAGAAACAGTCCAGTTGTCCAATCACGATGGAATGAATTGAGAAATTATGGTCTATTCATGCAGTGGAATTCTAAGCAGCATTCAGAGTTGCACAATTTGGTGGGTGGAGGGAAATGGTAAAGATAAGTGGGAACCCGAAAAGATTGAGTAATTGGTAATTAATTTCATAAAACACAATACATGAGAACGATTGTATGCAACATAATGTCAGTGAAGCAAAGTGTGAGGGGAAATATTTTTTAATAAAAAAGACATAAATGAAATATTTTTTTTCAAAAAGGGCATTAAAAAGGAGAATCAAAGGGAGAAAGTGAAAAGCATTAATCTGCCTTTTGGGTATTGTAATTAATGTCATAAAACAAAATGCATATGATGTTCTGTTTTTACAACTGTTTCTTTGTCTCTATATGGGTTTTATAATTGCTTTATAGGTTGAGGTCACTGAAATTTATTCTTTTTGACTGCTATATAGCATTGTCATGCGAACATACGACAATTTTCTCATTCAGAACCTTGCTGATAGTAATTTACATTAGTTTCCAGGTCTTTGTAAACTATGCAGTTATAAATCATGGCCAGCAAGATAATTTTTTTAAAAAACAAAAATTTATAAAGTCTGTTTATAGAAATTAAAAATGTAGTATATTAAAGTAAACAATGAAATTTCAATTTTTTTAAAAAACAAAAACAGCTACTGTCACTGAGTAGGTTCTAATTCGTAGGGAACCTTCATCAGTTTATTGAGACTATAAATCTTTATGTTAAGGGTGGCTCATTCTTCTTCTATAAAATAGCTGGTATATTTGAGCTTGTAGTTTTCTCTCCAAAGGAAAAGTTCCTCAAGTCCCATGGGATACTTATGCAAGTGTGATCCACAGCCACCCTATGAACAGTAGATTTGAACCCTGTCCAATCCTGTGCCATCTTCACAATCTCTGGCGCACTTAAGCCCAATGCTGTCTAATTAATTTCTTTTCACAGCTCTTCATTTTTGTTTCATAATTTCTTCCACAAATCCACAATTGATACATTTTAGTTATTTTAAATTTCTACTTTTATGCACAATGATGCAATACAGGTTCTTGCACATATTATTTTTGGCATTAGGCTAATTATTTCTTTAAGATAATTTCCAAAAAGTAATATTGCTGAACTAGAGGGCATGAATTTTTCTCTTCTCAGTAAAGTGAAGATTGCCCTTCCAAAGAGAGCCAGTTAAGTCACATTCTTATCACCAAAGAGAGTTCAGAGCAGGGAGCTCATACCATCTCACTCCAGTAGCAGTGGCAAAGTTTAACTGGATATCAAGTAATAGATGTTGGAGAAAATGTGGTGAAATAAGAATTCTGTTACATTGTTGGTAGGGTTGTACAATGGTACAACCATTCTAGGATGCAGTTTGGCTGCTTCCTCAAAAAGCTGAACATAGAAATTCCATATGACCCAGCTATTCCACTACTTGGCATATACCCCGAGAAAATGAGAACTGAGGCTCAAATGGAAACTTGTACACCAATGTTCATAGCAACATTATTCACCATTGCAAGAACATGCAAACAGCCTAGATGTCCAACCACAAACGAATGGATTGAGAAGTTGTGGTACATTCATACAATGGAATACTAGGCAACATGTAAGAGAAATAATTTTGAAAATCCCTACCTACCTTGGGAGGGACTGGAGAGCATTATGCTGAGGGAACTAACTCAGTCTCACAAGGACAAATACTGTATAAAACCATTATTGTAGAATGAGTATGATTAATCAAGGTGCGGGGGTGTTTGGGGGGGTGGAGGGAGGAAACAGAGGGATGAGGATGGGGGGATATGTGGTTAATCATAGGGTTGCACAATTCGAAGGGTGAGTGGGGTGAAGGAAATGGAAAGGATCTTTTGTGTGAAACAATGTATCCAAATTTTGTAAAGAAATTAGAATAAACTTTTAAAAAAGGGGGAAAAAAGATTTCCTACAGGAGATGACTGAGTCCTCATGAAATTTGATCATAAAAAGAGCAAATAAATAATCTGCAGGGAGCTGGGATCAGAGAAAACAGGGTTAAATTCCCCCACTGGATTTATTTCTTATTTGTCTGCGCCTAATCTGTCACTGGAACACTGGGCATCGATGACATTTCAGCCTTTGTCAGCAGGGATATTTGAAATCGTTGCCAAAGAATGATGCCTTTTTTTTTTTTTTAACTTTGTTTGTCTCTCAGAATGACTTTGTGATCCACTTCCTGGTGTGAAGAAAACTGAAACAATGGCTGCAGAAGCCGGTGATCTCGCCTCAGAGATCATAGAGCGAGAGCGAAAAACATTGCTGGAAATCCTCCACCAAGATCCTGAGTCTGTCCTGGATACTTTAACCTCCCGGAGGCTGATTTCTGAGGAAGAGTATGAATCTCTGGAGAAGGTTACAGATCCCTTGAAAAAAAGCCGTAAACTGCTAATCTTGATACAGAAAAAGGGCGAGGGGAGTTGTCTGCACCTTCTTAAGTGTTTAGTTACAACTTTTCCTGAGTCTGCAGCTGTTTGGGATTTAAATTTAAGACACGGTAAGTTGACTCGGGGAACAAAGGGGTCAGAATATCTGAACAAAGAAGGAAGAAAGAAAATGACTGACTTAATTTTGTTTTTCTCCAAAAGATAGTATTCAATGAATCAGGGAAAAGTATTCACATTTGAAAAGCTGAGAAGAGCCACCAATCTTAGAGATTTAGAGGGCTGGTAGCTTGTTCATATTATAGCCAAAACTTGTAGTTGTTTCAGCTCTAATGCAACTGCTAATTATTTTGGCAGCAACATACATTGAAGCTTGAAAACAGCCTTTCTGAAAAGAGAAGAAAACAATTTTTAGCATCCTGAGATCAGTGACAAAATTTTGCTGTGTTAAGTAATGCCATCAGCAACCTAGTTTTCTGGAACAATTCAGATACTAATGCTTAAATATTCAAAAGATAATTAGCAGCCCAGGGGATAGGGGAACAGTTCTAGAAAGGGGAGAACTTTTGTGCTTAGTGTTTAGAATTTCTGTGTTATTACCACTAGAGGTTGACATCGCTCCTTTTCTAAGAATCGAAACAATATTCAAGATTATTTTAACACAATATGTTAGAGAGGTGGAGATGCAGTAAAAAACAAGTGACAGTTGATAGACATTCATGGAGAACAAGACTCACTGGCTTAGCAAAGTTATTGTTGTGTACCATAGTCTGAATGGACTCATAGCTGACCCTCCAGTGGGTTTTCAGAAGCAGTTAATTACAGGGGCCGAGACTGCCCATCCTTCCAGCGGCACAGCTGGTGGCCTCTAACCATGTGCCTTTGCGATTGCGACACAGTTTCTTGCCAGTAGGCCACCAGAGCAGATTTTATTATTTCTTTGTTATTGGCCTAGGATCTACTATTACAAATAGGAGCTCTCTGATCTAATCTTTAGTTAGTTGTTAAACTGAGATCAAGGGGTGAACCTTGGCCTCAAAAAGTTTGGATTGGTTGCAGGTTAAAGGACATCCAAAAAGAAACACTGTTTATAAAATGAACACCTTTGACTTATTTATTGACCTTTTGAGGTTGCTATGGAAGCTCCTTGGAGGCAAGAATGCTGAGGCTTTGTTTGACATACTTTGGGCTTGTTGCAAGGAGGGACCGGTCCTTGGAGAGATGGAGAGAGATATGCTTGGCAGGGTGGAGAGACGGAGAAAGAGAGGGAGACCATCGATGAGATGGATTGATATAGTAACTGAGGTAATGAGGGTAGGTGTATCAGAGACAGTAAAGTTGGCACAGGATAGAGCAGGTTTCAGGTCTGCTGTACATAGGGTTGCTATGAGTCGCAGGTGATTTGATGGCATATAATAACAACAACAACAACAACATGAAAGCCTCAAAGTAGTGAGCCAGGCAGAATGTGATCGGATTTTCTTCAGTGGCAGAGTGCTCTGACATCTGACTCGGTGCCATGGAAGTTATGTAGGAAATGGGAAAAATTCCTATTCTCCAGTGAAATGAAGAGGAGATATGATACTTTCAGTTCTCAGTAAATCATTTATTTTGTTGAGTCAGAAAAACTAAGCAAAACCCTTCTTGTCTTTTTTCAGAATTTTTAAAACGTGAGACGATAGAACCTTCTCGATCTTTGGAGGCAGACAAGATTTCAGAAAAGAATTTTCACTCTGTAAAGAAACAGCCTGAGAATGTTGACATTACATCTTCCAAAGAGAAAGGGCAATTGGACTTGGAGACCTCTGAGTCTTTAGTGGACAGAAGTATTAGTGGTAGGGGAAGAACTTTGTCGTCAGGGGAGAAGGGAAGTGACTTGCCAGAATGCACATTCACGTATTCAGGTGAAGATGTGGAATATGGAGTTTCATCAGCTATTGCATATTTAAGGGATGGACAGAGATACATGGAACCAGATGATTCTTTATACTTGGGAGAAGAAGAATATCTAAGACTTGTTGGGTATCTTGAACATAGAGAAACAGGTATGGAAGAGGAGGACTGTGGTGAACCAGAGCATATCATATATGATGGTGAAGACAGCCCTGAGTATTCGGAAGCCACTGACTTCTCTGATGATGGGCAAAGTTGTGAGGAGTCAGACACTGGCATGCCATTGGAAGAGGAGGAGGAGGAAAGTATGGAAGGTATGGGAATGATCCTAATGTTTGACGTGTATGGTTGAGTTGGGCAACAACTTATATTTATGTGGCCATGACGTAATGGGAGAAGGGATGTTGGAAGGCACCAGATAATAGGAGAAAGGCTATGAGAGATTCTATGTGCTTCTCAAGCTGGAATCTGCTCAGAGGTGCGTGGGTATTGATAGGGAGGAGCACCCAGGTCCTATGGCATTGTAAACAGTACAAATGAACATAGGTATTCATTCAGTTTCCAGGCTTCTCCTGTTACCTTCCTTCATACTTTAGAATTATCTGTTTCTCAGATTAAACCACTTTATTCATTTTAGCACATCTGTGACTTAAATAGAGGGTGATGGGGCCTAGTTCTTGAAGTGAAGAAAGTCAGTAGAGCAACATACAGTGAAAAGTTCGACTCAACACACTGCCATAGAGTTGATTCTGTTTCACATGACCCTCTTTCAGGTTTCCATAGCTTGTAAATTTTAGAGAAGAGACAGCCAAATCGTTCTCTCTTGGATCTGGTGGTGGATTTCAACTTCCAAAGAGGTGTGATTTCTTGGTTAGCAGTGAAATCTGCTACCTGCTGTGACGCCAAATACGGCTACAATGCTTGATCCAGTCCATATTTTATCTTAATAAGGAAAATTTGATCAGTATCTGGAATGTACTTTTTTAAAATGTCATGAACAACTTTAATGAAGAACAGTTCATGTGTAATATGATCATTTCATCTTAAATGGACATTTTTATGGGTTTTTTTACAAATTTATACATGACTCCCATGATCAAATGCTTGCTTTGGCAGCACATATGCTAATCTTGGAACCATACAGAGACTAGCACAGCCCCCATGCAAGGATGACAAGTAAATTTGTGAAGCGTTTCATGTTTTTAGAAAGTGCGACCAGCAAGCTTGTTAGAGGCAAGGATGATGAAACTTTGTCTCACAGACTTTGGCTATGTTGTTAGGAGAGGCAAGTTCTTGAAGAAGACATGCTTCGTAAGGTCGGCAAAATAGAGGAAGACCTTCAATGAGATGAACTGATACAGTGATTGGAACAATGGGCTCAAGGATGGCAAGGACAACACGAGACAGGGCAGGTACGAATCTACTCTTTATGTTGTTGTTCTTGTTATGTGCCGTTGAGTTACTTGCGACTCATAGCAACCCTATGTAAACAGCCCTAAACCCTGCTCTGTCCTGTGCCAATCTCATTGTCTCAGACACAGCCACCCCCTACCCTAGTCACTGAATCAATCCACCTCATAGAGGGTCTTCCTTTCCTGCCCTGTCCCTCCACCCTCCCAAGCATGATGTCACTCTCTAAGGACTGATCCCTCCTTGCAACATGTCTGAAGTATGTCAGACAAATCTTTGCCTCCAAGGAGCAGCCTGATTTAACCCTCTCAAGGACAAAACTTTTCATTTTCTTAGCAGTCCATAGTACATTCAATACTCTTCTCCAACACCACAGCTCAAAGGCATCAATTCTCCACCTATCCTCCCTAATCATTCTCCAGCTCTCTAATGCTTAACAAGTGATTGCAAAGACCATGGTTTGTATCAGGGGCACCTTACTGTCCAGAATGACACCATTGCTCTTCAGTACTTTGAGGAGGTCTCTAACAGCCGACTTTCCCATTGCAATACGTCTTTTAATTTCCTGGCTGCTGGTGCCAAGAGTGTTGACTATAGAGCCAAGCAAACTAAAACTGAAAAATCTCAATCTCTTCACCATCCATCCTGATGCTGTCAATTGGCTCAGTGGTGAGAATCTTTGTCTTCTTGATATTGAGCTATAATCCATATTGAAGGCTTCAATAAAAGGTTAAAAATGTTCGGTAGTGGTAGTCAGTCACCATCCAGTTCTTGTTTCATGGTAAAGGAGGCAGCTGTTCATGAAAGCAATTAGTCAATTATTCTTATTTCATTCTCCTATTCTAGTTTTACCTTCGTCTGTTGCTTGAGGTCAAACTCAGTGACGTTGAGTTGGTTCATGGTAATCCTCCATTGGGTGTCTACGGTAGCAAACCTTTAGAGGAAAATATGGCTGTTTTTCTTCCTTGGAGAGCTTGGTGGATTAGAGCTATCTGCCTTTTGGTCAGTAGTCTGACATAATACACTATGCCAGAGGAACCCTTATTACTCCAGGCAGCAGGAGATAATTGTTAAGTCTTGGACAGTGGCTTGTAGGCTGTTAGGACCCAAGGTGCTACACAACATATCAGGAGATAGAATAGAAACGTTAATAGATTCATGGGTCAGTCTGCTGAGATATCCAATGAAATCATGACTCTAGACCTCAAAACAAAATCCTGTGAGGTATTTGGTTGTAGAGAAGTAATATCAACATCTATTTTTTATGGTTGTAAATATAGATATCGCATAACTTTTGCTATTGACTTTGCATACTTCTTAATTGTGTTGTTGTTGTGTTGATTACCTTCGAGTTGAGCACGACTTATAGCCACCCTGTGAACAAAAGGCTTGAAGCCCCTCTACAACTATCGACATTTATCGAAGTTCATAGAGTTTCCGGAGCCATGTAAAAAATTCAAAATAGGAGAAATATTTTTCTTTTTTACTATGTAAGCAGAGAAAAATGTTTATTAGAGAAAAGAGCAAGGAAACCGTGGTTCAAAATCAGGAAAGGAGTGCCTCAAGGATGTGTCCTGTTTTCTTGAGGGGATATTGTCTGGGAAAGTTTTCAGTGGAACATAGGAAAGGAATGACCTTTTCTCAGTTCTCAGTGGAGAATGGGAAGGAAAGCTATCCACTCATGTTCAGTCCTGTACGCCAAAATCTGGCTTTCTCTAGTCTAGATAAGAGTCAGAGCCTCCTCTTGTGCCATTCTTGTATATTGTCCTCTTAAGTTCTATTTATTTATTTGGTTTATTGTTGTTGTATACCACTGAGTCAGAATCAACCCATTGCTGACCCTCAGCGGGGTTTCATACAGGTGGCATCTGTTTGTTGAAATATGTCAACTGGTTTTCTATCAATTCTGGGACTTCCCTCCCACCGATTACTTTAGCGTAGCTTAAGTTTACTCCTTTGTCAGCACTGTCTTTTGATCAGATGTGTTATTGTTGTGTACCGGCGAGTCAGAACCGACTCATAGCTCACCCTCTGGTGGATTTTCAGAGGCATTTACGGGCACTGGAGGAAATTGCCCATTTTCTTCAGTGGAGAAGCTGGTGGCCTCTAACCACGTGCCTATAGGATTGCAGTACAGCTTCTTTCCACCAGGCCACAAGCGCTCTCATGTATAGTTTCATGAAATTCTTCTGTGTCAGCCAGTTCTTTTTGGTAGAGTGACTCTGTGTACGTCTTCCATCTTCTTTTGATACTTTTTGGGTCATTCAACATTCTGTGCTCAGCATCCTTAAGTATTGCAACTCAAGATTTGAATTTGTTCTTCAGTTCCTTCAGCTTGAGAAATGCCGAGTGAGTTCATTCCTTTTGATTTTCTGACTCCAGCTCATTGCAAATTTCATTATAATACTTTGCTTTGTTTCCCCTTTGAAATATTTTTTTAAAAATGTCATTATTTTTTGTGTGTGTACTGTCAAATCAGATCTTACTGTTACAGGAGATTGCCCTTCCTTCTCCAGCAGAGAATCTGGTTGTTTCGAATCATGCACCTCTGGGATTACAGTGCAGCTTCTTGCCACTAGGCACCAGAGCTCCTTGCCCTTTGAAATCTTCTGTTCGGCTCCTTAACTTCTTGATTTCTTCCCTTTGGTTTGGCCTCTCGATGCTCTGGTACAATATTCAAAGTCTCTTCTGACATCCGTCTTGGTCTTTTCTTTCTTCTCTCTCTTTATAAGGACTGTTTGCATTCCTCATGGATGATATTCCTGATATCCTCTCAAAGCTCATCCGGTTTTTACTCGTCAGGATTCAAGACCTCAAACCTGTTCCTAAGATGGTCTTTAAATTCAGGAGGGATAGACTCAAAGTCAAACTTTGGTTCTTGTGGATTTGAGTTGATTTTCCTTAGCTTCAATTTGAACTTGCATATGTGCAGTTGATGACCTGTTCCACAATAAGCACTTGGCGTAGTTTTCATGGCTGATATTGAGCTTCTCCAGTGATTTTTTTTCTACAGATATAGTCAATCTGATTCCTGTGTAGACCATGAGGTGAGGTCCGTGTGTATAATCACTATGTATGTTTTTTAATAAAATATATTTGCAATCATGAAGAGAGCTCTGTTGGTCTAGTGAATAGAAAGTGATGTTACCAAGCCAAAGGTGGGTGGTTTTAATCTGTCGCCCTCAGGATTGGTTTTATTTGTTTTTGGACAAACATACCTCTAAGTGGTATGGCACTGGTCTGTCCATTTGCTGTACAGAGGTAACTTGTGGTTACCGTGATTCTAAACATTGTGTCACTGATGTGTCAAATGCGATCATGGTTACCCATGGTGGATAGTGTTTGGTGGAGCTCTCTAATTAAAACAAGCTTGGGAGCAGGAGTGGCATCTGCTTCTGAAATAACTTGCCTCCAGAAACTCTATGAACCTGGAGAAATGATGAAAGTTATACAAGTGTTCAGGTCTTTTGTTCATAGGGTTGCTATGAGTCATGCTATGAGTCACAACAACAGCATATTTGTCATGAATAAGTTATACAGAATTCTGTCATTTCTATTTCAGCTTCATTTCTGTCACCAAGTCCATGCTTTCCCATTATTGATCCTTCTCCCTGTTCCCAACTTTTTCATTCCAGTCACTTATTATTGTCAAAACATCTTGATTGCATGTTTGGTCGACTTCCAACTGCAAAAGCTGATAGAAGTCATCTATTTCCTCCTCTTTCGCCCTGGTTGTTGGTGCATATATTTAAATGATAGTAGTATTAACAGGTGTGTCTTGTATATGTATGGATACTATACTGTCACTCACAACACCATTGTATTTCAAGATGGATCTAGAAATGGTCTTTTTAACTAGGAACACAACCCCCTTTCCCCTCACCTTTTATATAATTCAAAATGC